ACAAGGCACAATAAGTGAAAGATAATGTTATCATTATTCATTCTTCAAATACTGAGTGTTCACTGTCAGGTACACCCTCTAAGTGCTATGAATAAAAGACAATAAATACACGAATAATACATTATATAAACATATTTTAATATATAAATATATATTTGTTTTATATATATATATATATATATATATATATATATAAAACAACAACAACAAAAACCCCAGAAGTTTAAGTGCACTACCAAAAAGGATAATGGGATTGAGACTGCCCATAGAGACAGAGTGAGCTTTTTGATTAGGTGATAGGAGATTCCCATTTGATGGTGTGACATTTGATTTAAAATCTGAATGAAGTCAAGAATAAAAAATTTAGATGAGAGGTGATGGTTGCACAACTCTGTGAATATGCTAAAAAAGCTGAATTGTATTCTTTACATGGGTGAATTGTATGGTGTGTGAATCATATCTTGATGAAGCTGTTTTTCTTTTTTTTTTTTTCTTAAGTCTGAAGGAAGAAGAGAAAACAAGGTGAAAATCTTTGGGAAAGAGCACTCCAGCTAGAGGGAACAGCAGTAGAGAGACCATGAGGCTGGAAGGGACTTTCATCAGTTGGAGGAAAAAAAAGATTGGGTGGTGGGAGTTTAGTTAGGGAGGAGATTGGAGATGGTGGAGATCTAGACTGTGGTAGGGGACAGACCAGGCAGGGCCTTGTAGGTCATGTTGAATACTTGAGATTTTATCCAAAGCGCAATGGGTAGCCCTTGAAAACATTTAACTGGAGAAGTGATATCTGGTTTATGCTTTCAAACAATACTTGTGCTTTCTGTATGGCAAGAGGATATATAGGAGGGCAAAAATATAAGCAGAGAGACCAGCAAAGGGAATGCTTCTCAATAGTTAGAACGAAGGTCCTAGATATTGCAATTCTGGCTTTGTCCTCGGTCCCTCAGACTCTCCTTTATTGATCATAAACTTTATTCTGAGAGCAGAGATGTGACGGAAAAGGCCACTGCAGCAGAGGGACCCATGAGAAGTAGAGAATTCATGCTCCACCACTACCCACAAAGGAAAAAGGTTACTGTAGTACCCTGGCATTCACCTCACCTTTGGTTTACAGTAACTTGTACTATTCCTACAGGAAGGTTTCAGGGTTTTCAGCTGATCTATCCTGGGCCCCAATGAAGAGGGTCAGGAGGGTTCACTTTTCTAGGCTGGGGTTGGCCAATCTTTTTCCCCATCTCAGCCACTGCTTGGAACCATTCTGAACTACCTCTGTCTCTCTTTAAGAACTAAGTCAAGGGCTTCCCTGGTGGCACAGTGGTTAAGAATCCACCTGCCAATGCAGGGGACACGGGTTCGATCCCCAGTCCAGGAAGATCCCACATGCCGCGGAACAACCGTGCGCCACAACTACGGAGCCTGCGCTCTAGAGCCCGTGAGCCACAACTACTGAGCCCCCATGCCACAACTACTGAGGCCCGTGTGCCTAGAGCCCATGCACCTCAACAAGAGAAGCCACCGCAATGAGACACCTGCGCATCGCAACGGAGAGTAGCCCCCACTCGCCACAACTAGAGAAAGCCCGCGTGCAGCAACGAAGACCCAATGCAGCCAAAAGATAAATAAATAAATAAAAAATAAAAAAAGAACTAAGTCAAAATTTCCCACAAGTAGAAAGTAGAAAAATACACGGGCAGATGCTCAATCTATAAATTTTATAAATCAGGCAGCTTTGCTGCTTTATATAAATGATTAGAAGCATGGCCTTTGGAATCAGACAAAATTAGGTTTAATTGCAAGCTCCGCCACTTAATGAGTAACTTAGGGATAGTTCTAAATTTTGTTTAGTAAAACTAGGGACAACAATACCTATGCTTCATTGAGTGTTTAAATGTGTTGATGTCTGTAAATCACTTAGCACAATGCCTGATACATAGTAAGGATGCCAGATTGGTAGTATTATTATTATTACTTATTGTAATAATTAGTAAGTCTGTTACTTTTACAAAGGGAAAAATACCTTCAAAAAGATGAAGTCTACTTACCTTTAAAAGACATGAACCTGTTAACTACTAAATGAGGTTAAAACTATGGAATCAAAAATAATAATTTCAATTTTTTCCTGTAATAAAATTAATTTAAAATAAAGTTAATAATTATAAAATCTTTAGCCAAAAATTTTTTCATTTTGGAATTCAGTAAGTATAAATAAGCCCCTTAGCAAACTATTCATAATTATAAACTATTATGGAGTATGGAGTTGATTATTTTTAATAGTCCCCAAATGAAAATCAAACTCACAGTTTCAATATTTGAAGAATGATCACATACATTATGTTATAGCTATCTGAAGGAGTATTAGGTATACTTTTAAAAACTTACATTTCCAGGTAATTTTAATGATACTGGAAAATGTTATATTGCAAGTGAAAAAGCAGTATATAAATACCATCTACATTGTTTATGATATGTATACATGATATGTATGTTGGATATATGTCAGGAACTTTGTGAGGGCCTTCGCCTCTATCAACTCACAGCATGGCATCGATGGAATACTCTGGTATAACAATTTACCAAAAATGGAAAAGTCCATTCAAGTGAACAGAAAAGAAAAAAAGAATTATAAATATGTATGCTTTCCTAGGGAATGGTTTCTTACTAGTGTCTTTTAATCCTCTTTAGTGATTCCTTTATAAGAATTCCACAAGGACCTTTGTGGTTGAGAGCCCACTTGTTCCAATACAGTCAATGGTGTATCAATTAACTGCCATCAACTAACTACCTTGCATCTGTAACAGTCTGAAAGGGAGAGCTCCTGAGTCTGGGAGTCAGATATCTGTACTGCTGTGCCTCATGCAGACAGCAGACCATGTGTCTTCTAAAAGGGGCTCTTTTAAATATCCATTAGAGGGAGCACTACTAGAGATCACACTCGGACTTCGAACACTCTAAAAGCATTGGCAAAGGAGAATTAAATATGCATAATGCAAGCAACTTGTCCTATAAGCATTCAGTATGTCGTTATCCTTCAATAGAACTGTTCTGATGGAAATTTTTACGGTGTATAGGTCTTAGGATCTAGTATTTCTCATTTCAAAGAGTAACCTCGTTTTTTCAAACTATTATATAAAACCACAGTGCATTTAACTGATTTAGTTAAATTTAATTTCTTACTTTAAATTCTAAGAGGAGAAAAAGCTCTTTGAAGGAAATCTTTGTTTAGATGGCATAAAAGTAGAGGCCTCGTTGGTAGTAGTACTGACAGTCATGACTTGTGTTATCACATACACCCTACCAGTCAAAAGTCAACTTCTTTAGGAATAATGACTATTGCTGCTTTGGCTAAAATTTGAGTCTTTCATTAGAGTAAAATTATGTCTGACATTTCATAAGGCTTAAATGCAAACAAAAATGATTAATCACATTCATAAATATGCAAACTTACGTTCAAACCATGATATTAAAAAGGTATATTACATTTGAGACAAAATGGCAAAACCAGAATTTTTAATTGCCAAGAATTTTATGTAGCAAGTTTGTTCAGTAACATAATAAAATAGGAATATTACATTGGCAGAAGTGGAATTAAAGAACATAAAATATTACTTTAAAACAGGAAAACAATGGGATCACTTTCAAGAGCCTCACAGAAAGCTTGTAATTTAAAATGCTACCTTTTCATGATTAATGGGATTAATATGTGGGTTTTCTGTGATAAAAATCATGGTACCTGAGTAATACATACATTCAATTGCATATGACAACAAATATTATAAAGATGTACTTTCCTAATTACTTAAGAAATTGTTTTCAGCTTATTCAATGCTTTGTCTAAATAGCTTAAGATATGTAAAAAGCAAACAATCATACTGTTTCATCCTTCATACTTAAGGATGAAACTTTTTAGTAAGCATGCGTGACATATAATAAAATGGCACTTGAGGGAAATTATTGCTTAACCTAAAGGAAAAAAAATATCACTGTTAAATTCCTGCCTGGGGGTTAAATTGTGGTCTTGCATTAATAAAGTAGGTTTTTGGATTCCTTAGCTTTTGGTGATAATTTGGAACCTTTCGTATTTTCCCTGTAGATATTTCAGGCAAGCTCTAAAATTTGAGAGGACACTTAATAAAATAAAACTCCCACTTAGATGATAAAATATATTAATTCTAATAATATATAAATAAAGTAAATCTGATTCATTTACTGGGCAAGGGCTACATTCTAAACTACCCAACTCAAATTAAACTAAACTCTGTGGCAAACAATTTTTCTCATTAGGCAATTAATGTTACCTTCGATAAGGCAATTCCCACATAGCTTTTGGCCATAGCTGTTGTCTTTAAAACAAAGTTCTAAATCTGTAGATCATGCAAAAGGTTATGATCTCCTTAGCAGGTGGTTAAGGAAATCTACAATAGGGATGCATGGTCAAGAGAATATGAGTTTTTAAGAAGTCTCATCTAATTAGCGGAGCTCTCCCTTCCAATCCCCCCATGTTCAGTGATCCAAGAAACTGAAATGCAAATGGAAAAAATGAATCTGTGAAGTTAAAGGTATAAAATTCTGCAACGTTCCTCAGACTCTTCATTCTTATTTCTAGAATGGGAAGGGATTAAAGCTAACCTTATTTCCTTAGAGAAAAGTAGATGAAAAATTATTTATACTTTTAAAACTTTTTGCAGCGTTGATTAATGCTCATTGGTAAATAAGGGAGACCATTTCATTCATTTGGGTATGCAAATTAACCTGGAAAATCCATAAAAACATCTTTATCGCCAATAAGCCCATCAGGATCGCAAAATATAATGTAAAAGAAAATGAATATTACTTGATAAACACATGTGAATAGAAGCATTTCAATAAGAAAATCTATCATTTTTTTATAAAAAAGCTTTCTATTTTAAACATCATTACTCAACCACAAATAAAATACTACCAATAAATGCCTTTGAAATTTCAAGTAAAAGCCACTGCATTTTCCTTATTAGGAATGTTTGCTTTCAGTCGTCCTTTTTGTCTGAGGTACTCTCTTCATGACTTTCAGGGCTGACTTTATTACTTACGACTGAGGGAGTTGCTTGGACTTCTTTTGGTAATGAAAACACATGGCACGTCTGGAGGTCTAAGTAGGTTGTAAATAGCTTAGCATATTCTGGATGCTTTAGGGCAAAACTTTTAAATTCCTCTAAAAGAGGAGAAAAAACAAAATCCAATAAATTGAGGTGAATCTTCTTTTGGCATGATGCAGATTAACATATGATCTTAATAATACAATGATTGCAAAAGTCTATTACTCAACCCCTATAAATTATACAACCACTTTGGGAGATAGTTTTTTCCATTATCTAGTCAAGTTGAAGATATGCGTACTTTATTCCAGGGTATATAAGTGAGAGAATTTGTGCATATTGTGCTCTGGGAGACATGTATGAGAATGTTCATAGCAACATTATTTATAATAGGTAAAAAATGGAAACAATTCAAACGTTTGTCAAAAGTTGGAATGGCTAAGTAAATCATGGCATATTCGTGGAACAAAGTGCTACACAGCAATTAAGATGAATGAATAGCTGTGTGGTAACAATGTGGATGAATCTTAAAACCATAATGTTGAATGAAAAAAGCCAGATGCAAAAGAACACAATGTTGTATGAGACCATTATGTAAAGTTCAAAAACTTAGGGAAAACTAAAATATATTTAAAGATGTGCACTTTTGTGGTGAAATGCTAAAACAAAGCAGGCAGAGATTCCTTTTTAAGTCAGGTCAGCAGTTCCCTCCTTTAAGACAGAGGAAGGGGTTCTCTTTGGGAATAGGCACATGGAGGCTTCTAGAGTTATTGAAAAGCTCTATTCCTTGACCTGAGTGGTAGTTACACAAGGGTTCATTTGTAAAACTTTGTTGTGCTCTATGTTTATGTTTTATTGTTTTATGTAATTTTATTATTTTTTGTAATAAAAAATGTTAACAAAATTTATTACCCAGGACTCTCTATTACTGGCTTTTAAAACTATTTTAACCTTTAACTCTGGTAAAGAAATAAACCATCTTGAAAAGCTGAGCCCTGACTTATGATCAGTGAGGGCAAGTAGAATGTACAATATTCGCTAATCATATCACAAGACCCCTGAGTAGTAGGCCTCCTTTTATCTCAGGTGTTTGAGATTTAGAAAGTGAGGTGGAGTATAGAAGGCTTACAAAATTAACCATCAGAATTTGAACCCCAAGCCTCTGGTAACCTGGAGTTTCTGAAATATGATGCTACCCTCAAGTCTGACATTTCTCTCTCCTTTTCTGTTTGGATGGAGAAAACTTTATTGACCTTATATAGCAAAGAGAGCCTGGTCTTTGAATCAGCTTGCTATTTGACCCTATAATAAAAGGCTTTTAACCCAATATCCTATTTCTATCCATTCACTAAAAAAAAAAAAAAAAAAAAATCCTCCAATAACCAAGTGTCTACTTCATGGCACATTAGACTATCTAGCAACTCTTGAAGATAAAAACAGGTCTTAGTGATGAGAAAGTCACCAGATAGAGCCCAGATCATTCTTTGCAATTACAACATTATTTTGCATTGACAGAGCACTTTATATTTCCAAATCAGGCAAGCTATTAATTTTTCTTTCTTAACATCCAAAATAAAGATTTATCTGAATGAGTCTATTTCAATGACGGAGATACAGAGGACGTAAGTGACTTCTAAGATACGTGGGCAGGAGTGTTGATCTACTGAAACCACGAGCTTTAATTTTAAGACTTGTGCTCTGGTCAAAAGATCAAGTCTCTCTGTCCTCTTTGGGGATGCTAGTGGCATTAAAGAGTAACTCATTTCTAGAAGTGCTGAGAGCTGGCAATAAGTAGAATTTGGGCATTAATTTGGCTAAAGAAAAACCAAGAATGAAAACAATTTAAACGATCACATTTAAATAATGTAAATGGATACATTCGTGATACATTTCTATACCTATTCTTTCATAAAATCATACTTAAATACCTCAAACATTCCTGCAAAAAAAAGTGGGCTTGCATAATATTGGGGAAAGGGAGATATTCTGTGTATTCTAAAAAGAAAAAGGTTGAACTCCAGAAAACAGAGTAGATTTCCCTAAAAACATATTAAAGCTGACAGGTAAAAATATGACTACCTACAAATAATTCTTAGTATTAGCTTCCATTGAAATAGTTATTCCAAATAGTTTTTCAAAATTTGTAGTTTGGAGTAATACAGAGTATTAACTATGCAACGAAAATGGTCAGAGAATTAATACACATGGGGTTTATGGCTCTTAAATGTTTGTTTGTTATTTTTTGTGGTACACGGGGCTCTCACTGTTGTGGCCTCTCCCGCTGCGGAGCACAGGCTCCAGACGCGCAGGCTCAGCGGCCATGGCCCACGGGCCCAGCCGCTCCGCGACATGTGGGATCCTCCCGGACCGGGGCATGAACCCGTGTCCCCTGCATTGGCAGGCGGACTCTCAACCACTGCGCCACCAGGGAAGCCCAGACTCTTCAGATTTAGATCAGTATATACTTGCCATTTTATCCTTTTTTTAAAAAAATGAACCTAATAGATAAGTGCCCTAGGCACTTACCTAAAATAGAATAAGGACAGCCAAAATGACAGTAATTAAAAACAGAAGAGTAGGGCTTCCCTGGTGGCGCAGTGGTTGAGAGTCCACCTGCCGATGCGAGGGACACGGGTTCGTGCCCCGGTCCGGGAGGATCCCACATGTCGCGGAGCGGCTGGGCCCGTGAGCCATGGCCGCTGAGCCTGTGCGTCTGGAGCCTGTGCTCTGCAACGGGAGAGGCCACAACAGTGAGAGGTCCGCGTACCGCAAAATCAACAACAACAACAACAACAACAACAACAAAACAGAAGAGTAAGAGAAGTCTGTGAACTAATTCCCCCATCCTATGAAAGTTATCAGGTTGAAACTCTTTGAACACCAGAAGGAAAAAGGCATTCAAGAGGAATCCCCCTCTGGCCCATGAGAGAAGACTGGGGAAGATAAGCCACGCTGACATCTACGACCACATCAAAGCTAAGGCAGGAGCCTCTCCACTGAGGTGTGTTTCCCAAGGACACTGTGAAACTGATGAACCATCCCTTCAGCCCTTAGGGGGACTTGTCTTCATGTGTGGACTTGAGCCATCAGGAGAAAGGCTGGTCACTGGTGGACGGACCTGCCACTTGGCCACAAGGTCTTCCTCCATGATAGTCCCTACCTCACAGGGGTGCCATGAACATGATGTGAGATAATGAACGTGAAAGCTCATCTAAGCCACTAACAGGAAACATAAATAGACTGTTCAGCTACTGTTATTACTGTGGGTCCCTCAGTCCATATCCCTCTACTGTGGCTACAACTCTGACATTCTCTAGTAGATGATCTCAGGTAAGTCACTTAAATTCTTTGCATCTCAGTAACATAAGAATAATGAAGAGTACTGATCAAATAGTCTTGCTATAAGAATAAATGAATTAATATATATAAAATGTGTGAAGAGTGCTTAGCATATGGAAGGTCCTCAATAATCAGCTTCTACCATTACACCACTACTACTATTATTACTATCATCATCATTGTTACTATTAATTCTATTGTTAACATATTAGTGGGGGGAAACAACACTCTTGTTTGAGGGTCAGTCATAGTCTGGATGTACACTGTATACTGTACAGTACACCGAATCAGGAGCCAAACTGCCTACTCACCATACGAAACAGAATCCCCCTGGGCTATTTCCTTGAAGAGACCAGAAACATCAAGGTCAGGCACTCCAAGGGATGCCTGCAGAATGGTGGCGAACTCTTCCTCTGTTATGAAGCCATCCTCGTCAACATCAAAGAGCTGAAGGAAAAAGAAAATAAAGCCTAAGAATGAGCTCCTCCAGAGCAATGGTGGTATGTAATAATCTTAAAAAATAAACTGTTTAGTAATTCAGACATTCATTGTGCGGGGGGCTAGGGATATATGTCCATAAGTATGGTATCTGTTGCCTTCACAATACTTATAGTTTAGTGGTAGAAAGAGATAGGATTAAAATGGGGCTACAGGGACTTTGCTGGTGGTCCAGTGGTAATGAATCTGCCTTATAATTCAGGGGTGTGGGTTCGATCCCTGGTCAGGGAACTGGGATCCCACGTGGCGCGGGGCAACTAGGCCTGAACGCCACAACTACTGAGCTCTCGCGCCTTAACTAGAGAGACCCCATGCCACAAACTACAGAGCCCATGCGCCCTGGAGCCTGTGTGCCACAACTAGAGAGAAGCCCGTGCGCTGCAACAGAAGATCTTGTGTGCCGCAGCCAAAAATAAATAAAATAATAAATAAATTTTTAAAGAAAAATACAGGCTATGACTGTAGTAAGTACAAAAGCACGTGGAAAAAATAGGGGTTATAACCATAGTAAGTACAAAAGCACATGGGAGTCCTGTGTAAACAAGATGAATCCTACCCGGAGAGGTCAGGGAAGGCTTTATGACATTTGAGTTGGGTCTTAAAACATGAAGAGATATTCCCAGAACATACAAGGACTGGCAGGCAATTGCCTGGGGCTCAAGTCAGGAGAGAGAAAGACAAGCAAGGATCAGATCATGATGGCCATATAAGGCCTCATCTACCCCTGCAGGATTATGATGGGAAGGGCTGTGGGGTGATTGCCTGTGAACTGAGGGAGCTCTCTGAGGCAAAGTGTGGAGGATGGAGAGAGGGCAGAAAGTTGAAAAGACTAGAGGCATGAAAAACAATTAAGAGTCTGGGGTGGAGAAGCAGGAAGGGCAGGAAGAGACAGAATTTATAAGGAAGCAAAGACAGGACTTACATATCAGTTAGAGGTCTGTAGTGATGGAAAAGAAGGAGCTAAAGACAACTGAGGGATTCTAGCTTGGGCAAGTGGGTGAAAGAGGGTTATGTTACCAAGAGTGGGAAAACAGGTTCCCAATGAGATCAAGGGTTAGACCTGGAGAGCTTAAATTTGAGTCAGAAGTGCCAGGAGGAAGTTAAGATTTAGCACATCAGCTCAGGAGAGTGATGAGCCTTGAGATATGAATTCAGGTAAAGATTGAAACTACAAGTGTGTTTGAGCTTCTCTGTGGAAAGTGCACAAAGTAAGGCAGAGCCCTGGGAACAGCAAGAGTTGAGGTGTGTGCAGGGAAGAGGAACCGGCCAGAAAAACTCAGAAGCAGCAGCCAGAGAGATGGAGAAGCAGAAAGAAAGAGCATGCATCTTGGAAGCTAGGGAAGGTTTTCAGGAAAGAGGAAGAAACTCTGACTGTGGTAATGGCCAACAGAGTAAAATGGCATAGGAAGGCCAAGCAAGAAGCAAGAAGGTTTGCTGGATTTGGCAATTAGGAGATCCTGGCGACGGATGGTAACGGGAATCAAGCAATGAATAGAGAGGTGAGGCATGGAGGCAACAGGCATGGCTCTTCTTTTAAGAAATTATGGGATAAAGCACAGGAGATAAATGGGGTAATAGCCACGTACAAAAGGAGGCTGCCTTCAGAAAGGGAGAGACAATATGTTTATAGGCAGAGGGGAAAGGGTGGGATAGACTGAAAGTCAAGCAGCAAAGCAGGGGTAACTGATAGATAATTAATATGCCATATTCATAATCCTCTCCAGGGTATTAACATTTTTTCATGATATCAACACTGACTCTTTGCAGGCACTGATCCAATATGTTCAAATCACTTTACACACTCATTTAACCCTAATAATAGTCTTATGTAAGGGGGGTGTTGTTATTAGCCCTATCTCACAGATGAGAAAGCTGAGGAACAAGGAAGCCAGGTAACTTTCCCAAGGTCACACAGCTTGTAAATGGTCAAGCTGTCGCCCAAATGCAGGCAGATATCTACAGTTCCTGCTGTTAAGGTTCTGATCAAATACACGATCAAAAACAGGCATTGGATAAGGTGTGATAATCATGAAAAGAACAATAAGCAAATACTGAATAGTGCTTTAATTGTCCACTAGGGTGGGAGAGAAAAATATAATTCGAAGTTGTGATTTGCTGCTCCCAGATAAGAAGGCACGGGGACCACCTAGTCCATTTTCTACTACTCAGCCCCTAAATGGACGACAAGATAGCTGGAAAGCGCAAAGTGAATTAGCTAGCATTTGTTTTCACAACAGTAGCCCCGGGGCTCTTTATGGGCCTTGGACTTCAGGCATTAACTGCCAGGATTCAGTCACAACCTCCCCCCACCTTCTCACAAACTCTAATTTTTCTGTAAAAGTCTTCCATTCCTAAAGAATTCTCACCAACTTATCAAATCATCTAAATTTGGTGCTTTGATGGCTCTTCCGTCTGTACAAGTTTCCTTCACACGTCCATTCTGGGGACTTTTACTTCCTCTCCATTTGTCCTTTGTCATAACTACCGCACAAAAACCCCTCCATTTCTCTCAATTCCTCATCGCTCCCAATAGCCTCCCTACTACAGAGTTCCCAGATCTAAGGTAAATCTCATGCTCTGGGCTCTGGTAGAAGGTTTAACACCCCATTTTCCTTGGAGAATGGGGGAGCGATATCTCCCCAGTGCACGGAATGCTGTGGGACTCTGCATCAGAACATCCTGTCTTTCCTAGCAAGCACATGGTGCAAGACCATTTGGACTCTGCCTGGAATTTGAATGATGAACAGCGTTGGAGTTTGCTCACTCTAACAGCAGTGCGCAGGGGAGATGTAGAGCAGTTCCCGCAGCTGGGACCTCTGGAGCTGCCTGCTTTGGAGTATTCCCTGGAGCCTGCTTGCTGTCCTCACAACTGATTCCTCCACCAGAGTCTATGCCGACTGCTTACAACTGAAGAATGCTGACTAATATTCTACCTCTAAAGGTCACCGTGATGATGAAATATGATCAAAGATGGGTAGTTAACTGTGAAGTGTTACCCAAATAAAAGGATGTGAATGCATCCTGTATATATACAAAGTGATACTACTAAATGAAAAATAGAAGCATGCCAAAATAATTTTCAAAAACATCATACAGGGTCTTCCCTGGTGGCACAGTGGTTAAGAATCTGCCTGCCAATGCAGGGGTCACTAGTTCGATCCCTGGTCCGGGAAGATCCCACATGCCGTGGAGCAACTAAGCCCGTGCGCCATAACTACTAAGCCTGCGAGCCACAACTACTGAAGCCCACATGCCTAGAGCCTGTGCTCCACAACAAGAGAAGCCACCGCAGTGAGAAGCCCGCGCACCGCAACGAAGAGCAGCCCCTGCTCGACGCAACTAGAGAAAGCCTGCACACAGCAACGAAGACCCAACACAGCTAAAAAATAAATAAATAAAATAAATAAATTAAATAAAATAGGCAAATAGACACTTAAAACAAAACAAAACAAAAAAACCAAAACATCATACACCCCTGAGAAGGATAAAAAAATAACCAAAGTAAAACATGACACTTGCTTTACTGAAAAAAAGAGCTAATTATAATGTTAGGTCCTTCTTTCCTCTCCCTGTCCCCCCTCAAAACCAAGGTCTAGGCTAGAGAAAAATCTCAGGACTTCTTTAAAGACAATAATTACTATGATTAAGGGCCAAATTTTCTATCAGGTCTTTCATTGGTAAACCCAAAGTGACCACTTGCCCAGCTGACCTTATAATCACACAGACAATCTCAGAACAGAAACAGAAATGTCTGGGCTGGAATAAGTTAGCTATGTGTATAATTTTAGGTTTTATGATGAATAAGTCTATAAGTTTTCAGCTTGGAAAGAGTTCTGGCCCTTGCCTTGAGACCATCTGCTAAGCATCAACCTCTTAGTTTCTTTATAGGCCTAGCCATTAACTCAGTTGAAACCAATCTGAAATAAAAAGTCAACCTGGGGACTCCTCTGTCAAGGATAGAACACATGGAAATTTGTGACGCTAACCCAGGTGGCCTCTAAGACGTGAGAAAGGACTCTGGGAGCAAGAGAGTCTTTCTAGATGATAGAGGGGAAAACACTTGTTGAGGACACAGTGGGATATTCTTCTCAGAGAAAATCAGGAAGAAATAAGATTAGCAAAGAGGCATGGGGAAGGTCCTCAGCTGTTATGGTGGATGAAGCAGAGACTCAAAGAGCTGTACGATAAGATTCCACATACACAGCTTGGTAAGTGAGATCAAGTTTTTGTTTTACTTGAGAGCAGATCATGTAAGATTAGAATATGGAACGGAACATCCCATTCAAATACTAATTAGATAAAGCACATTTCATCTCCAAAGAACCAAAACACACTTTGGGAATGTATTCTTCCCTCTCCTTTTTGCATATATAAGTGAATAAAATGGAATCTGAGTTCTCATAATTCAAACCTCCATTACGTTCTGCTGGGGATGGGGGACATGGATTTTATTCATCTGCCCCTCAACCCCCCATACTGCTGTGACAATATATGTGATATACAGGAAAACACATAGGGTGGAAACTTGAGACATTTATGATGGTGTTCACCTGACACCACCACAACAAAATAAACTCCATTGGGAAAAGATCACCTAAAATATCTCTGACATACAGAGTGAGAAAATAAGGATGGATCAGAACTTTCTGCCTGGTGAATTGGGATGACTATAGACAGGTGGTGTTTATTTATAAACCTCACTTTGGGGCTCCAAAATGGGGAGGCTGAAAAGAAATAATTTTTAAACTAATTTATGAAATCACCTGCTCTTCAATTTTAATGCTGTTAACTAGGCTGCTTCCAAAGACTTTCCTTTTGCTTAAATGGATGCTTGTCTTTTCTTTATTCTCAGTAGCGATTGTCTTAATCACATTGCCCTCGTGTACATGTCACAGCAGATCTATAAACACTCGTAATAGATGCACTGATTTTCAGATAATACACTTAGAGTCAACACTTGTTTACGAGACAGACCAAGATGATTTCAGTGGGGCTGACAGTACCTTAAATGCCACCTGGATGATCTCCTCTGTGTTGGCAGGGTTGCACAGGACAGCCAGGCCAATTACATACTCTCGGAAGTCGATACTGCCATCATGGTTCTGTGAAAGGATGGGAGAAATCAGTTAGCAGGGCCACTGGTTGAATGACTATTAATCACAGCCCACAAGGCGAAATTCAGACATGCCACGCAGCTCAGCCTCGTCATGCACTGAGCCAATTTAGAAAAAAGTTCGCACTGAGATAGAACAGCTAGTGAGTGGCCTACCCATTCCCAACTCAGAAGGAAGAAAAATATGTTCCTGTTGAGTGATCAATATAAACATTTTATCACTGAGGCTCATTTAGACTGGCTCTATGGCACTCATTGTGGGTTCTTGAGCTCAGCCTTGATGGGAGCCTCTCTGGGAAGCAGGATGGGGGATTTCATCCTAGGTGGGACTGAAGCCTTCATTCCACCATCGATGGTGGGCCTGCCATGATGGCCAACACCAGTGGGTCACTAAGAGACTCTCTCCATGAGGGAGATAGAAGGGAAAGGAAAGGGGCAAATTGAGGCAATAATCACAGCTACATTCTTTCTCCTTTCTGTGTTTACTCTGCAATAAAGCAGGAGAAAGTAAGCAAACCTGAGCAACTTCAAGGGCCCCTTAGTGATATCGGGCCCTGGAAGATCCTGCACTTCTAAGCCTTGGAAACTAAACCTAATTCGTATGATGTTTATATCTGTACACTTCAGCGGGTATTTCTTGATGGTCTTATAAAAGAAGGGGTTGATAATTCTAAACCATGCTGACCGAATATAGAGTTTTTCCTACACATGAACTACTCACCTAGATGGGAACACTGAGAAGACGAAATGGGGAGAAAGGAGAGAAAGCTTAAGGAAGAGAGGAAGAAAGGGAGAGAGAGGCAAGGCAGAGAAGGAGGGAGGGTGGAAGGAAGAGATAGAACAAGAAGGAAAGGGGAAGAGGAGAAAGGAAAAGTGAGATGGAGAGTGGAAGAGAAAGATGGAGGGGGAAAGAGAGGAGGAGGAGGGAGAAAGGAAGAGAACAACAAGCTCAATGATTATAATCCCAGGTGTGGAATCATTTTGGCAGCAAGATCTTCATGCTGCCAGATGAACTATGAACTAGTAACAACAAAGCTAAGTGTGATACTTGATAGGTTAGCAGATGTTTGGCACTGATAAGAGCGTAATCTTTAACTGTGACTAAGTGTCTACATTTCAACCATCAAGTGTTCCTCTAGGGCAGGGATTGCCTTCCTCTATGCAGTGTATTCCCATTGCCTAGCACACACAGGTAGGTGCTAAAAAACGATGCTACCTTTTCCTCACCTACTCTCACCTACTATTGATGCTTTGGGTTCACCTTAAGACACTTAGGCAGTGTTTTTCACTGGGGTTTCATAGATGAGCTTGAAAGGGAAGGCTTTGAAGCCTCTGAAAGGGTATGCCTTTTTTTTTTGTTTTTTTGTTTTTGGCTGAGCCACAGGGCATGCGGGATCTTAGTTCCCTGACCAGGGATCGAACCCTTGCCCCCTGCAATGAAAGCGTGGAGTCTTAACCCCTGACCAGGGATCGAACCCGTGTCCCGTGCAGTGAAAGCATGGAGTCTTAACCCCTGGACCGCCAGGGAAGTCCCAGCCCTTTTTAGATGTACATTTTTCTAGGGAAAAAAAATCTTGTAGCTTTCCTCAGCTTCTCAAAGCAACCAAGACTCACTGTCACCATACTACTTTATCTTGCTGCAGGGTGGGAACTAAAAAGGAATAATTGACCTTCGCTTTCTCATTGGAGAAGGTAGAAACAGAGGATTCAAGATTTCCCTAAAGTAACAGGGTTTCTTCCTAGGATTTAAAACCCAGGTCATCCGACTTCCATTTTTGTCTGATTACCAGCCTCTAAGACAGCTGTTTTCTGCCTTGCCTTTAATCGACTTTATTGAGGTATCAATTACAGTCAATAAAAAGCATCCATTTTAAGTGTACAGTTTGATGTTCTTTGAAAAAATGCAGACACCAGGGTAACCACCATCATAATTGATGGCTACGATATTTTCATCACCCCAGAAGTTTCAGAGTTTTAAGGGACATAATTTTCCTTGTGCCACTAACATTTAATTTTCTTCTGTACTATGGAGGGCTATTGTTCATTAGGCCTTAGAGGCTGAACAGCTTATGGTACCGTGAATATATGCTCAATAAAGGTAAATTTATTCTGCAATTGGTTTTCTCCACTAAGCAACATAGAAGTCTTGAATAGAAGTTCTGAAGTATAATGAACCGGTTTGCAGGGCAGAAATAGAGACACAGATGTAGAGAACAAATGTATGGACACCAAGGGGGGAAAATGGCGGGCAGGTGGGTGGTGGTGGTGGTGTGATGAATTGGAAGATTAGGATTGACATTTATACACTAATATGTATAAAATGGATAATTAATAAGAACCTGCTGTATAAAAAAAATAAAATTCTAAAATTCAAAAAAAAAAGTTCTGAAGTATAGATAAAAGAATGACCTATGAATATATTCAATATCCTGTGATAAACCATAATGGAAAAGAATATGAAAATAAGTATATATATGTATAACTGAGTCACTTTGTTGTACAGTGGAAATTAACACAACACTGTAAATCAACCATACTTCAATTAAATAAATTAAAAAAAAAAGAATGATCGATGGACACTGAAGATATGGTCATAGGTAGTATGATTGGAAATAAGCCTTTGATTTATTGTGAGGCATCCAATTTTTATCTATATTACCGGATCCTATGTATAATACAGGTCAAGCATTACAGCTTATTTTTCAGATGGAGAAAGAGAAATGTAAAAGACCCTTAGTATTACTGCTATTCACAAATAAAGGTAAGATTCTGGACCCCTGGTTTTCTTTAACAGTTTTATATGAGTGGCTTTGACCGACAAAAGAATACTAAAGCAGACTCTTGATAATCAATCACATGAGAAACTATATGTAAGTTTTCATCCTAGTAATGTGAAGGAGAAAAGGCAGCATAGAAATTATTCTGAGAGACTTCATTATAGGACTAATAAAATAATACATTTTAAGGTTCCAATTTCAGGATAAAAAACTTTAGAACTGGGAGGAATCTTAGAAATCATCCGTTCAACTTCTTCATTTTTACTAATGAAAAATTGAGATGTAAGTTTTTCTTGAGGTCACAAAATTCACTATTGCCACAATGACAATTAACATTTACCTAAACATTTACCTGACTCCCAATCATTCAAAGTAAAGCAGGCAAGTTGATAAAATATATTCAAAAACAGATAATAAAAAAGTATACAGCAAAATACACTCCTTTAATTTTTCAAAATTAAATCAGTCCCATGGTAAAAAATTATTCCTCAAAGCTGTGGTTCTTTCCTTTAAAAACTAATGGAACTCCTCAGGAAGAGTATTATTATTCAAATTCAATAAATTCTCAGTTATCCAGGAGAGTCAGGGAAGAGGTATTCTGTTTACCTCAATATTCTTATTTAGAGCATATTTCTACCCACCTGCATAGTTGTATTATCAATTTTCTAGGAATTAAATTGTTTTAATCCACTTAGCATTAAAAATAGACATTTAAAAAAAAGTAATTCTGAAAGCACTTAAAGATTAATACATACATTAAGTATCAGTGCCCTGCAGGTGCCTCAGCAAATATTTTTTAAGGCCTGACTATGCGTTAGTTGTGCAATATTACTGATGAAATTTCTGATTGAAGTTGCTACATAAATCAACTTTTAAATCACATGCACTATTACTCAAAAAATATTTTTAAAGTGACCTTTAAGATGATATACAAATTTTGAATGTTTTTGGACATTTGCTGTTCTTAGGTACAGAACACACAGTTCTTTTCCCTGCTATTATAGGTTACAGAATTCAGTGTATTAAATCAAGACTAAGGTGTTTTTCAAAATCATATGGGATATTTTGAAATTAAAAAATGTAGATGTATAATTTCACATTTAAACAAAATCATTATTATTTTCAACTTACTACATTGATTGTATTGCTTTTAGAAATTTGAAAATGAGATGGAGTTATATTAATGAAAGCCCTTCATCTTAGGCTATCAGTAGTCTTCCATGTAGAAAAGGCAACATTTGAAAAAAATTATCAGGTAAATACTCCCTCTTACACTGAAGATGTGCCTTTAAAACACCAACTAAAACAAACAAACAAACAAACCCATTGGATGGAAATTAAGAAATTCAATCACTTGTTAGGCTATTGGTTCTACACAATGCCAAAGGTTTGTTTACTTGGAAAAATCCAGACTTTGGACTAAATTTTCTGGGATCCACTCTAGTGCCTGGGGTTATTTGTCAAATTTTACACAAATTCAGAAAAGAACAAAAGAGAAACTTGGTAACTTCAGGATGTTTTGCCCTGTGCATGCAGGAAGAGAATCATAAAAGTAGGTAATCCCTTAACGTGAAGAGCAAGAGAAATACTTAATACCACCCCTAGTGTGAGATAATTGTCTTAACTTTCATAAAACATTTAAAATGAAGTGAGGGGAGAAAAGTGGGGCTACGTTTTCTTTTCCCCAACCATCATGTGGAAAGGTTAAATTATAAACTTAATATTCTGAGACCTTAAAAGGCATCTTGGCAGATTTCCCCTTTCCTGGCTATATTACTACAGCCATGCCTAACATACTAGTGGCCATATTCTAAAACAGGGATCCTGATATTAATGTGCGGTTGCAGCCTCATTCTAATATAACCACACCTGTTTTAAGTAGCTCCCCAGACCAAGTTTAAATTACAGGTCCCTTGAGGAAAGCGGATGTGATCTCTGGGCTTGGCTCAATTCAGAATTACACGCATGTGGTATTTCATAAATATTATATGATGGTGATAATGGTGTCCACAGAGGCCAAATGCCAACCTCTCCTATTTTCACTGGGGATTTCTAACAGGCAGCTGAGGGCTGTTAACAGGCCAGTTACATTATTTCAACAGTTACAGCTTTCCTCTAAATGAGTCAAAAAGGAAGGATTTATCTTCAAACTCAGGATGATCCTCCAAAGTAGATTGGGAGAGAGGGACAGCATTAAAAACCAGAGAAGCAG